ATAAAAATAACGAGTTTAAATGTACGTAAAGAACTTAATCCATTTGTCACTGCATAGTAACTAATAGCAACTTTTTGTATAAAATTATGACACACCAAGGTCCTGAACCATTTTGGAGTAATCATTCCGTATTCAGTTACAGATAGAATTATTTCTACTTTGGCCATTTAGAAGACACACAATTGGACATTTCATGCGCACAAATACACTGGTGTGCAAAAATTAAGGACGAAGTCGAAAAATTAGCATATCAGCTGAACGAAGAGGCAGAGCGGACAGAAAGACCAATCAGGAGATTAAGTAAGGTGATGTACGGTAGCACATGCGCAGATATGCAAGTAGACGTAATCGGGGAGTGTCTGAGTAGTATAAAGCATGTTATCGGTGTAAGATCAGTATTTCTGGCAAAAAGATTGCACGCCGTATAGCAGTTAAAATCACACCGAGTTGCTGCCTCAGCGAGAAATGGCGAATAATCAATCTGTTAGACGACATCTGGATGCTTTTACCCGAGGTCGAATCATTGGGAAGTTGGAGGAAGGCCGCAGTGTGACAAGTGTGGCTGCAGAGTTCGGAATTGCTCACAGCATCATTTCACGACTTTGGAGACAATTTCAAACTACAGGAAGAGCTATCCGGGGGTTTAGTAGTGGTCATCCACGAGGAACCACACCCGCAGATGACCGGTATATTGCCTTACAGGCCAGAAGAAACAGGCGGCAGACAGCGGGAGAAATCGCTAAACACGCGACACAGGCGACTGGACGACCGATATCGCGTTTTACCGTGGCCAGAAGACTGCACGGTGGGGGTCTGTTTGCACGACGCCCTGTACGGTGTGTAGCTCTAACGCCTGCCCATCGGAGAAGGCGTTCTCTGTGGTGCCGGGAACACCGGAATTGGAGAGACAATGAATGGGGACGAGTACTCTTTACAGATGAGAGCAGATTCAGTCTGAGTAGCGATTCTCATCGCATACTCATCTGGAGAGAGCGGGGAAGCCGCAATCATCCCTCGAACATCATTGAAAGGGACAGGTATGGAGGTGGCGGTGTTCTCGTTTGGGGAGGCATCATGCTTGATATAGTCGTACAGACCTTCACATCTTCGACGCAGGTTCAGTCAACGGGACCCGTTATTGTAACGAGATTCTTCTTCCATATGTGCGTCGTTTTAGAGGCGCTATGGGTCCGCAGTTCCTTTTCATGGACGACAATGCACCATGTCATCGCACAGTAGCTGCCGAACAGCTCTTAGAGAGTGAGGATATTGAACGTATGGATTGGCCGGCACGATCTCCGGATCTCGATCCGATCGAGCATGTATGGGATTTTCTAGGCAGACGCTTGGAAGCTCGTACCCTACCACCAGTAACGATTCCGGAGCTTCGATTGACGCTGCAAGACGAATGGGCAGCAATGCCTCAACAACTCATTGACACTCTCATCCTCAGCATGGGCCGACGCTGTGAAACCTGCCTGGCAGTCAGGGGAGATCATATCCCCTATTAAAGACCGGATGTTTCTTGCTGGACACCCATCACAGGGATGTTTCGGCCTTCAGTCGCATTGCGCTCCATGCTACTTTTCCAATAAAGCTTTTTTTTTATCCCTCTAATTTCTCTTTTAGTAAGTGTTGCTTACATTACTCATGTCCTTACGTATTGGGGATCTTACGGTATTAAATGTGTTGATTTGGAAAGCTTTTGTACAAAGTTATATTGAAAAAACCGTCTCGTCCTTAATTTTTGCACACCAGTGTATATGCATTATTTCACTTCCGCTTCATTGTTTCTAATTCAGAGCCTATTGAACATCTGTACCAGCAGTTGCCAACTAAATTTGATGCTTTCTACAACTACCTATTTTTAAACATTTATTTTTCTCTTCCTTTACAAAATTTATTTATGCCACTGTTTCAGAAATGTAGTTTATAAATTAACTTCTTTACCATGTTTTAAACTTTAAAGTAGTAATTTATTCTTATGCCTTATTATGCTGTAGTTAAGTATTTATTTCATTATTATTGGTTTATTTGATTACGGCGAAGCACACGGACTATCTGCCTAGCGGGATGCCTTCGTGGAGAGTTTTCTGAAGGGGAGGATTTGGGAAATGACTCAGACATGAGATATTGAAGTATGAAGCATAATTGCGGATGGGGTAGAATTAATAAAAAACTGTAGCAGGTCCAACTAATATTCTTTTTATTTTAGTTAAGCATTTCGTGGCCACAAATAACTTAGCACATTCCTCGTGCATGTTCCAGAATATAACATTTACATTTTCGATAGCTTTGATGTAAAAAAGAGAAACAACCAGCAGCCATTTAGCTAGGCCGAAAAATAGAAGATAAGTGTGATGTGTTCGAGACGAAATTTTAATTCATGGTGGAATTAGTTTCGGTTTCAAAGTTATTTAATTGGATGATAAAAAACTCTAAAATTATTATTGGTTGAAGACTTGTGTAAATTATTTTTGTCACAAATATTATTTCGTTCGTTACGTAAAAGTCATGTGATATGGATTAATCTAGAAGTGACGTAGTCCAGAAAAATTTGTGTTAAGCTGTTATTATTTTTAGCATAGAAGAAAGGAGAAATACCCAAATTAAAACGAAGAGTTAAGGAGCTATTGAAAATTTTAGTTAGATCATTTTTATATTACATGTATACATAATTCATTTTACAGTACGTAGAGATTTAAAATGCTACATATAATGCATATAGATTTAAAGAACGTGCATAGATTCGTACAGATTTAAAGAAAAACTGTATAGTTTATATATGCATTAATCAGAAACAACTTCTTTAATTATATTATTGGAATATATCTTCTTAATTTTCAGGTTACTTTTGGGATAAATATTAAGGAATTCATTCTCACAAAAAAGTAAGAATTATAATTTCTAACAATAATAAAACAGCTATATACAAACAGATAAACAGGTTTAAACAGGAAATCATACAGTGGATGGACAAAAATATGGAAACACCTTGTGAAATGCATGTTTGAAAAGAAAGATTAATTTTAATAAAATATGTAGGTGGCCCTGGTGTTTTTGACTACTGACGCCACCTATACAACTTCGTAAATGTGCTAAACAGTTCAGTTGTTGTCGGAGTACTGTTATGTGAGGTTGTCATTGCATTATGTCAGAGTTAACAGACTTCGAACGAGTGCAAATTGTTGGAGCACGTATGGTAGGTGCTTCCGTAAGCAAGGTAGCCGAGGTGTTTAGTGTTTCCAGAGGTACTGTATCGAAGATTTATTCCGCATATTTGAAAAGCGGAAAAACATCATCTGCTAAATCACAGCGCGGACGAAAGTGTGTCCTGAGTGATCGCGATAGACGATCATTAAGGGCAATTGTGACGAAAAATAAGAAGACCACAGCTGCAAAAGTTACTGCTGAAATGAATGTCGTGTTACCGAAGCCTGTGAGTACCAAAACAATTAGAAGGGAGCTTCATAAACAGGGAATTGCTGGCCGTGCTGCAATCGAGAAGCCACTCATCAGTGATGCTAATGCCCGTAACTGGAAAAGGTGGTGTTTAAGTCATAAAGCCTGGACTATAGAGCAGTGGAAGCGAGTAATATGGTCTGACGAGTCTTCTTTCACATTGTTTCCCACTTCTGGCCGAGTTTACGTCTGGAGAACGCCATCTCAAGCCTATAATACAGACTGCTTGTTGCCAAGAGTGAAACATGGCGGGGGTTCTGTTATGGTTTGGGCAGCCATATCGTGGTTCTTTGCTAGCCCCATTATAACTGTGTCAGGGCACATGACTGCCAAGACTTATGTGAACATTTTGGCCGATCAAGTTCATCCCATGGTACAAACTTTGTTCCCCCATGGTGATGGTGTCTTCCAAGACGACAAAGCCCCTGTTCACACAACTCACATTGTCCAGGACTGGTTTTCTGATCACGAGGATGAGTTGTCCCATCTCCCCTGGCCACCACAGTCACCAGACCTCAATATTATCGAACCTTTGTGGTCTACATTGGAACGGAAAGTGCGTTCTCGTTATCCACCGCCAACATCGTTATCTGAACCTGCCACCGTTTTGCAGGAAGAATGGTATAATATTCCCTTGGCAAACATACAGGAACTGTGTTTATCCATTCCGAGAAGACTGCAAGCTGTTTTGGATGCCAACGGGTTTCCTACACCATATTAAGCAAAGAAACATGTTTTTTTAAAGGTGTTTCCATATTTTTATCCAAACCCTGTATTTCAGACTGTAACTATAATAGTATTATGCATAAGCATATTAATTTAAAACTGTTCGTTTTTTGCGTCTTATTTGCTTATAATAAAAGGTTTTTAAAAAATCTTATACTCTGTGGGTTTGTAACATCTCTCACAACCTGTGCTTTATTTTTAATCCGTGAGTATTTATGCACCTCTTCAAATTAGTACCGCCAACCTGTTTTCACTAGATTCTCACTAGTGTAATTCTCAGTTAAGAACTAGTTAGCGAATAATCGCTTAAGTTCGCGTGACAAGAAAAAACAAGATGGATGGGTAACTAATCCTTTATTATTCCAATAAGATTTCACAAAACTCCGTCTTGGAGTGTACAATCAAAGCCGACACCTGGGCTTGGACTTAAGAGACTAATAATTAAACTAAAACTAAGATTAACTAAAGAGATACAGCAGAAGCTATCAAGATTCTAATCGAGTTGGCCCCTTAACTCTATTTGACTACGAAACTTATCAAGGACCTGAGTACGGCCGAGCGTAATAACAGCTAATAGTAGCCAAAAGGCAGACGCGCTTAAATCATAAACTCTGATTCTCTCTGACTCTGTAAGTAACTTCGCGGTTTAAATACCGCTCCTCCTCATTATGTATTATGTATTCAGAAAGATTCCAAAACTACGTTCTGGCCGGAAGTAGCAAGTTGGAGTTAAGAATTTGACAGGAAAGGAGTTTTAACTTAATCTGTTGCGAAGGTTTCGAAAAGAAATTTAAAAAAATGTAGAGACATACCTTTCTCGCAGAAATTTCCATCGTAGTCTCCCGTGCCGCAGTCACAGATGGCCCCGCTGTCGGTGCTGATACATTCTCCTCCATGCTGGCAAGGATCGTGATGTTTGCACGCATCGAGATCATTGGAACGTATGCCCTTGAATTCGACCATATCTTGGTGGTGGTGGGGACCTTCTTCACTTGCATACACAACGTTTCGAATAGATCCCCTGAAATGAGGCTCGAAAAACACAGATGGCAGTGACATTTGTGTCAATTTAGCGCTGTACCAACTTGGAATTCCACCAATGTAGACAAAACTGTTTCCAGAGAAGTTCCCGAACTGGTAGTCGTTGCCTTTTGTTACTTTACTTTGTGTGTCCTCATCCACTCTTAGCAAGGTGTCTTCAACATTGCGAATGAGTTCGACGTGGTGCCATTGGTCATCATGAAGATTCCGACCCGCATGTATAAGCAGCGCACCACCACCTAAGTTGAATCTTAACCGGAGAGTACCATCAACCAACTTCAGTTCGAAGAAATCACTAACGCCGCCATCGTCCAGGTACAGAAGCAAACCATTAGGTTCTGTTGTTCGAAAATCGAACGATAAGGAGTCCGTCACGCCAGCATACCAGCGTTTGAACTGAGCGTACGAATTGGGCGATCCTTCCAGAACAAAAGCTTTAACGGAACTTTTGGAAAGCACGAATAAAATGAAAAACAGCCATCGCCAATGCAGCTGGACAACCGCCATTTCTTTAAATTGTACTTTTATTATTTCGCCGTAGAAATATGTGTAACACAAATCGCAAAATTCTCATTGATTTGTCAAGCCAGAATATAGCCTTCTAATAATGAGCCCTTCTGAGCAAATGTAAAGGAGCTGGTCCATGTTTTTCATGCATTCTGAATGCGTAATCCTGTTTCAAATAGCACTAAACATAATCGGAATCTCTTTCTCATCAGTTTTCTTATTACGCTAAGTTCCATTTATTTTCATTACAGTAACCGCTGGGAATTGTCACATGTCACCTAATTATTTTGCCAGAAACTTGTACATGTAGTCCTAGGACACATGACTGAAGATTCCTTCAAAGCGACACACATTTTCCATGACATCTAAAATTAGAAATCACCAGTAAAAAAACTCGGTTATTAATTAATTAATTCCATCAATTTATAACTTTATTAAGGTAAACGAGATAACACATATGGATCATTTTTAATTAAGTCTCCTTGTTCGCAATTGAAAAAAGACTCTGTTCACTGAAATTGCTCAATTATAAAAGGCAAATTTTCAATCAATTGGCAAACGTACGTATCCTTAAAATAATAACTTTTAATAGCAGGTAATGATTTCTTTCAAAGCATGCTTGTTAAGTTTCATCCACTTGAAGTACATCACATCGGGTACAAAATAATTTCAAAGGTGGTTATGCTAATAAATCTTTCTTTTTAAAACAACTTGCAATCTTCAATGCATCGAATGATTTAATTTAAGAGTATGTTTCTGATATCAAAAAAAATGTGAATAAAGTATAAAAATGATATTAATAATTTTATTTCTTACTTCCAAAGTGGTTACATTTGTACTGAATGCTGCATAACATTGAGTCATTCTGACAGCGACTTTTAATTTCGTACTTGCATGGCGAATCGTTATATTTCGTATTCGCTTGTTTCCTTCCACACTGAATATTTAAACAACCATGATTATACATTCTGGATTCTTTTTTGAAGAAAACTGTGTGCAAGTAATTAATTAAATAAATCCTTAATGTCTTAAATATTCTAAATACTTGAATAAAGTATTTATGTTGTCTCCAAAGCAAAGAGTTCCTTATTGTTTGCCCTCCAGCTTTTTCTTTGGTCAGACAGTTTTTTCCCCTTCTTTTTCTTTCTTCACATTGCAAGTAAAAACAAAAAAATTTTTTCAAGTATATTAAATAGTTAATGAAGACAACATTTCCTCAGAGAGATGGTTCTAAAGATTTATTTTCTTGGGGCAGGAAATGTCTTCCGAAAATACCTGAAAAAAGGAAAAAAACATTGTAAAAAAATTAAATATTTGTGATTTATTTTTTTGAAATAGTTATCATTCAAGTAATTGTATTGTTGCACTAAAATAATACTTTAACTAACTATTGCATTTCCGCACGTCCATTCTTGTGGTAACAGTATAAGGTATTTTCCACTATCTTTTCTGCATGCCTTCGTGGCGTTACGGTAAGCACACTCGGCGCGTATTCTAGAAGTCCAGGTTCGAGTCCAGGCGAGGGAGGGCATTGCTCATTTTTCGTGTTTACTACTTCAAAAATCCTAATGATTTTACAGTGGCACCCGAACTAGAAAAGGTGGTGGATGGTGATTCTTCACAGCCAGGATTTAGCGGTTCGGTCCCCTAATCCCCAGTCGCTGTATAAAAGGGTGAGTATATAAGGTATTTTCTCCCTCCTTTCTGCATGCATTCGTGGTGTAACGGTAGCACACTCGGCGCGTATTCGACAGATCCATGTTCGAGTTAAGGCAAGGATATTGCTCATTTTTCGTGTTTACTACTTCAAAAATTCTAATGACTTTACAATATAACAATAATGAATTGACTGGACCGCAGAAATTTATCAGTGGTTTTACAAGTACAGCCCCCAACGCAATAAAATCACAGCTCTGGTCTTAATCTGATGGAGAAAGCCCGGGGAGTGGATCCGCGGCTCACATTCCCTTGCCTTTGCACGAAACCTCTGGACAGAACTTTAGGTTATGCAGTACTTGATGTGCCGTCATACAGCACAGATAGTATATATGTTACCGTGAAAGACAGAAATTGGAGAATGTCGATTCCAGATTTCGGTGTTTCACCGGAGAATGTCAACATTCACCAAATACGTCGGTAAAAGATCGTTATTTCTTTACATTCTTGTACATTCGGACCCTCACCGGTGTATGTCGACAATCACAGATATGCTCTGGTGTAGGTCGAAAAGAGAGGAGTATATGTACACGCTGCCACTCCAAAAGGAAGTGTTCCACAAATAAATGCAGTTGTAAAAGCAAGGGCCTCTTGTGAAATTCAAAGTGTCATAATAGTTTAAGTTGTTGCGATAAATAAGATTTGAATCACATAATTTTGTAAGTTTATAACTTCTATTATTTTCCTTTCTCATTTTTAATGTACTGTGTGTTTTAAGTTCTTATATTCTTAAGTTCTTATTCTGAGTCTCAAGTGCGTTTTTTCGCGAATGAATTACGGAGAAGGAAATGTAATATTCTTATATATTCAACATTCACCATTAGTACATGGTGAATGTCGACATTGACCGGTGTAAGTCAGAAATAAGAGTATTTGGAAAATATTACGGACATACACCAAGCGACTGTGTGAATATTGACATTCACCGGTGAAAGTCGACATTCTCCAGATTTCGGTGTTTCACCGTAACATGTACACTTACAAAAAATACAATCATTATTGGAGTTCGAGTCCGGGTCCAAGATACAGCAATCAGCGTTGCTAATCTCTCCACCAATCAGGGCTGCAGTTATTTCATATAAGTACCCGGATAATTCTCACAAACTAATCTCATGGCAATCTAGCGGTTTCTAATTAAAGATAAACATCAGCAACCGAAGTTTAAAAAAATTATGCAACTACTGTCTTTCTACGACCTAGATATTTGTCAAGTATGAGCTCCTCCTGCTGCATAAATTTAATGAACTTTTACATCCTGTAAATATGTTCAAAAAATTCAACTAATGAACATTCTAAACTGTAATTACTTACTGCACCATACCAGTTTCAGTATATTTTTTTAAACTGTGTTAGATTCTTGTGAAAATTATTTTTTGCATTCTCAAATCCCTGAGCTCCCTCCCCCATAACACAAGTCATCCTCAGGATATCCTATTTAAGTCGCAATGTCCCGGGAAGCAGTTAGGATATCCTGAGGATGTTGATTCTCAGATATCCTGAGGACTTCTTAAGTGAACATCCTGAGGATATCCTATTCAAGTCTCAATGTCCCGGGATATATGAAGATCTCCTCAGAATGTTGATTTTCAGACATCCAGAGGACTTCGTAAATCAACATCTTAAGGATGTCCTGTACAAGTCGTAATGTCCCGGGATATATGAAGATCTCCTGAGGATGTTGTTTCTCAGATATCTTCAGTACTTACTTTTTATGGAAGCTCATGTCTGAAAATATTAAAGTAAAGTAACCTTGTACCACACGCACGTCATGTTATAAGATGTGATATTAAGCACTCGGGAGGAGGTGTTTAGGAGGTTCGGACATTCCGGGATGTCCCGAGGATGTGCGCATATCCCGCGTGTTCCGAATACTTATTATATCTATATCGATATATATATATATTTTTTCCTTATTATTACTCCAAAGGAGCAATTTGCCTAGAAGGGCTATGAATTTTGTTTTGATTATTTCTTTGCATTCTTGTTATTCTTTTGCGTTAATTCATTATAAACGGCGAGTCACTTTTTAAATTGTTGCCACCAAATATTAGAGCCCTGTACTTTATTTAAAGAAATTAAATAATGAAGAATCTGCATGAATGTAGGTATGTTTCTCGCATTGTGATAAAACAATTATACCTAGAGCTATCCAGTTTTGAAAACGTACGTCTCCTCTCGAATAGGGAAATCCGAAAGGGATATTTGTTTATATTTTGTAAAACATTTATGAATTTTTGATTAAGAAATTCAAAGAGAGGAATGGCAACATCGTACGTAAAAGGGAAAAAGCATTTTTATCTCCTGCTGTGTATCGGAAATTCTAAAGATACACTGCTTTAAACATTTTCTGAAATTGGTATTGAATTGAACTTTATGGTTTAAGTACGATGAATATGATATTTAATAAATAAAGATAACACACGAAACATTAAGAAAATCACCTTTAGGCGTAACATAAAATCTGAAAGCTGTCAGAATTTTTATAAATATATACCAAATTCAATTAACATGGATTTTGAAAGCTAATTAAAAAAAAAATACTTGTGAGTTTTTTAATCAAAGCTTAGGCATAATTTGCGTCGTATAATCGAAATATGGAAAAAATTGGTGTGTTACTTCAGAAAAAAAAAATCCGTATTTGTGTATGTTAGAACCATGCTATATGTAAATCTAATTTATATCCTAAGTCTCACTTTTGAGACATGAAAAACGTAAGTTAAATTTCGACAATCGAGACGAGTAGAACGGGAGATATAGTATTTCCCCCCTTTTTTATTTCCTTGTACGAAGTAAAAAGGAAGTATTGTAATCGAGAAAAATTTCAGGCAGTATATTTCAACGAAAATATCCATTTTGACCGCTATTGAATGCAATTTAACGATGTTTTTGCGTTACGTCTGTACGTAAGGACAGAATAAAAGACTCTTTTCTCCCAAAAGAATTATAAAACTGCTTTGAAATGAATTCTGAAGAGAATTTTTCGTGGCGTCTGTACGCACGTATGTACGTATGTACGTATCTCGCATAACTCAAAAACTCAGAACGTTGAAATTTTGTATATAGGACTGCTATAACATGTAGATGTGCACCTCGTATTTTGGTTGCAATCGGCCGCACTAAACGTATATATATATATATATATGTAATAATGAAATTCCATAGTCAAAAATACACATAAAATTCTAACTGTATGTTCTTTTCATTTTTAATGGCGACGGTCTCTTGTTTGAAAGTGCGTGGAATTAAATTCACAGCCCCGTAGTCAAGTTATTTTTCCCGCCTTTTTCTACACATACAGTTATAGAATGGAGATATTTAAAGCGAACTGGAATGGCTGACGTAGTTCTTTGAAGCTCAGCCTTTCCAGAGGCTATAAAAGGACTCGCAGAGGAATATCGGGGTCTTTTCTTTAATGTAACGATGCAGTAAACTTAATACAAAAAATTATTAGTAGTTCTTTTTTATTTACTCCGGAGATCTTAATTTTTGGAACTGCTATTTTTTCCTGAAATATAATAAATGGATCCTGTTTTTTAAACTTATCGTCTGATAATTTAAGCTACGACTACATCTATGATTCTTCACGAATCTATTTATTCCGGACAAAAACTGGTACATCACAAGGAGTCGGCAGGATTGGTGTACCCAAAGAGGAAAGTAATTCCAATGGAAGAGAAAGAACGTTTTTAAGTGGAAATTGTGTCTGTTTCTTACAACTGAAGAATTATGAATTGTGATACAGCTTTGTCTTCGCATTTTGAGCGCGTCTCATAGTTAGAACCGCATGATTTGGATATCGTCTGCTGGAAAGAAGCTGAAGAATTTCAATCATTTATGCTTTTTTTTTTTTTTTTTTTTTTTTTTTTTTTTTTTTTTTTTTTTTAGGAAATAAGTGTTTAAAATTTACTTCGTAATTTTTAATACATATATTTTGAGTTTATATGTATTTTTGCCTTGTCGCGAAGTGTGAATTGAATTAATTGAATGAGAAGGAGTCAAGCGTCCGTGAAAAACTGTTTCTTTTTTTTGTTTTGTTTGCTTAATATCTTTTATACATAGTTTTAGCTTTATTATAGTATTTGAATAGAACATGTGGCAACGATTAGATAATTCTTTAAATGATATAAGTTTTGCGCATTCTGAGTTATAATATGAACGAAATATACTACTGTTAAGTGAACCTAGCGCCAGAGTGTCGCTATGGTAAACAAACAGAGTGAATTTTAAAGAATGCATTTATTCTATTGTGGTTTATGCGCTGTCGGCGAAGTAGATTTAATTCAATCTAACAAGTTTAAATGAAATGCAAGAAAAAATGCGTATAATTTAATATTCCGTACAAGGAAGTCATGTGGTGTACACATCAAATTTTTTTCTTTTGTGCAAGGTTTACATCGAGTATGCATGAACTGGCTTTTTCCTTCTAATTTCAACAATTATGTCTTTCTAAGAAACAGAAAAAAACGACGGCGTGAACTACTTCAAAACGAATACATTAATAAACATTACATAGGGAAGGCTGTCATGCAAACTTAATGATATTCCACCGCTAGTG